TGGTTTGGTCATCTGGTCAAAATGGAACAAAATCAGCCAGCAGCTGGAGCGTACTACATGAACTACGCAACTAGCAAAAGACAGTAAACTACGTCTAACTCCTGACTGTGATGCTTTAAGGCAAAAGCAATAGGAAGTAGAAGAATAACTTCTTTAGGGATGCGGTTACACAGTGGCTAGATGCTTTCCTGCTGCTCCAAAGGTCTGCACTAAGACAGATTTTTGTAATTGACCTTGACTTCCATGTTGACCTAGCCTAAAATGATCTCGGAAATGTAATGGAAAGTAAAAGTTGTTCACTTCACTTTCCAGTGCTAATTAGTCTTTTAAAAAAATATAGATCTTTTTCTTCGAACAGCTTTAAACTCGAGCGGAAAGTTCTGCTTGTTATATTCTGATTATTTGAAAAGGGTCTTTTAATAACTTTCCTTGCCACAAGGGAAACCTAGAAAACTAGGCTTGTATATTGTTAGCCAGAATTAATTATCAACAAGTTTTCCCTCCAGTGAGGAGTTGAAAGCAAATGGCTAAGTGGTAGAGAAATGATATCTTGAATACCTAAAATATGAATAAGAAGTAACAATGGCAAACATTTACGTTTTGCAGAGGATAGTGACCAATAAATAAGATTAACTGCTCATTGGACTATTTTTGTACCAAAACAGTCCAGGGATTTCTAAATATAGATAAGAAAAGAATCATATTATTAATTGAGTACTGAAATTGTTTGTTTTTTTTAAACATATTTTAATGAACTTATTCATTTTTGTCAGCATAGTATTAATTAGGTACTTTTAAATGTTCTTTTAAAGCATCTTTTGATGAAGTTTTTCTTGTTTGTCCAACTGCACATTCATACAACTTTGCCTGGATTACTATGTTTTCAGAATCAGAACAGTGTGAGAAGCCTGTCCGTTGCATTGAATATAGTATAACATCTCCATTTTATGAAAAAGAACGTGGTCTATCAAAGGCACGACCTGTTTTAAATCGCCCAGAATATGATACCAGTTTGAAATCCCCTGGTCATTTAAGTGACAGGGCACGAAGTGATAGAGAACGTGCCAGCCCCTCTAGATTTGCTAGCTCTCAGCAAAAAGAAGATAACAGGCTACCAGGAGGAAATATTGATTTTCAAAAAAGGTGAATTTTACATCTATCAAAATTGTACATATAAATTAGAACATTAAGTTTTACAATTAATGTTTCTGGCAGATAAACATTTTTTTTACCCAGACTTCCAGGTTGATCCAGTCTAAAATATCTGCAAATGTTCTTGGAAGTAAAGGTGACTTTTGTGATGCTAACCGGTAATATGCTCTGCTAGGGGCATGTGTTGTGTACATTGCTTTCAGACGAACAGTGAGTTGAAACGACACAGCATGAACGAATATTGAGTTGCTTGCTTTTATTCGTTGAATCGCCAGTTATCGCATACATACATTCTCACTTCCTCGTGCTCATCTTGCTTGGCTGAATCTAGCGACCTGGTCGGACTTCTCACACACTACAGGAATTCATCAGTGTCTCTCAACCATCCATCTATCCTTAACGAACCCTGGTACCTGACATTACGACGTGTGGAAAAACATTCAGTCCTCCTATTGAAATATAACATTTGTTTCACAAATCATTTACTCTTCTCAGGCGTCCACTCATGCGTCCTCTCTCAGTCAGGGCCGAACTTCAACTGTCTTACTCCTGTCTCTCGGTTCACATCTTCCGTTCACATCTCATGCTTTTCTTGTGTCCCTCACTTCGTTCACCATGAGATACACGAGACCCACTTATCCCGCTTTTCTCTTCTCTCACGGGTCCTCCGACTTTTTCCTCCCCATCGGGAACTCTCTGGGATTTCCCCGGGAATTCACAACATTACATAACCACATCACTTATCAAGTGTAAATTGCTCTATAAAAATATTAGCCTATTACCTTATGCACTAATGACAGTAATAGTTTTTTTTGTTATATACCTTATGCACTAATAGCATTTATCCTTTTGCCTCTTGCATGCTTTAAAAAAAATAGTTCATGATCCCTTTAGAATTTGGGGAGAAAAAAGATCCTTAACAAACAAACACACCATATTGCACAGGTCTCTAATAGGTTGTAAAAATAGTGTATTTCCTTTTTTCTCTTAAAAATATATAGATATATACATGAGTAATAATCCATCTTGTGCCAAAATATAGGGCTAGCCCTATATGCCCTATACGCTTAAAGGCGTGGAAAAGGGTTCTTTACTGTTTTAAAAAAACTTTTATGAGTAAAAATAAACAATGAGCAAAGTGAAGCATTGATTGGAATACATTCCCCAAAGCTAAAAAAAAAAAAAAGATATTGCGGAGCCTCATGCCATGACCCAGTTATCTCAATCACTGAGGCTGACAGGTAAATACAAACTATATTGGGTGGCACATGCCATGACCCAGTTATCTCAGTCAGTGAGGTAAATTTGAGATAAATTTGCCTTTTTAAAAAGCCTTCCAAATGAAGTCCTCTTCAATACTATTTTAAGTTACTATATTCATATCCTGGCCTATTATCCAGGCACACCAGGGACCAATTGAATTTAACTACAGTTTTTGAGAACTGGTTACTGCGGACATAGCCTATTATCTACCTTTATGGGGATGTGGCTGAACCGGTGGTGACTAGATTTAGGTTTCTGGTGGTGAAATGGTTCAGTCTTTTAAAGTATTTAATTTTAATGCTGATAACGAATGTTGAAATGATGTTATGTTAGTTAAAATAAATGTATTTGATATATGTTTGATTCATATTTGAGCATCTCATGAGATTGGGAAAGTTGGAATTCAAGAGAGGCGAGGAACACTAAGAGACAAGATATTAGATATTTTGACATCATAAAAAAAAAAAAAAAAAAAAGTGCAGTTCGTGCATTACTTAAATAAGATTGAAATCAGTTAGAAGGAAATCTATATATATAAAAATCAATGTTTGTGTGTTTGTTTGCTCCCTATAGACTCGGAAACCACTGAACCGATTTAGCTGAAATTTTCAGGATATGTTTGTTTTGATACCGGATGTTGAACCATCATGGTTTGAAATTCAACCTTTCATTGTTAGAGATAGGTGACCACAATTTAAGCCATAATATTCGAAACTAATATTTATAATTTTAGTGATTTCTAATTATAGCCACGTTAGTAATTGCGCATACACCGTGCAGCCACCTCCTCCTCTAATACATAGAGTAGGTCGTGGTACATCAAACAAGACTATATCTATATCTATGCAGGCAGTGATTGCCACAATAACTATATTAGACACGATTTCTATTTTCTGTTTTTTTTTTTCAAACATCCTTCGATGAGTTGAAAAGTAGCCAATGGATTGGAAGGGAAAAAGAGGGGGGGGGGGGGGGCATCAGGGACTATCTCGACGTCTGCGCATTAACCATGTTAGACACGTGCGATTTCTTTTGTTGTGCCGTTTCATTAATATATTTGTGGAGTATCTGTCTATGAGAAAACAATTGCCTGCTGTTTTGAATTGTGTTATAATCGGGACACTACAGTAGGGACACACATATAAAATAGTTATGTTCTCTTTTCGTTACTCCGATAGAGTGGTTGCTTGGTCGAATGGTTAGAACACTCGGCTCTTCAGAGGGAGACCAGGGTTCGAATCCGCAGTAGTTTTTTTTTTCTTTTACTTAGGGCCAAAATAAAACCCTCACCTGCACTGTCGTGGCGACAGCACTAGCCATATGGCCCTTAATGATATATATATATATATATATATAAAAAAAAAAAACAAGGACAGGTTTGTGGGTAAACCAGTTGATAATTAAATTTGACCATTTCACATAATTATGATTTCATTTTAAACTTTTCGATTGCATGGTTACGCTGAAATTTCATAGCTTTCCATTTATTTTCATTTAGATTTAATTATTTCATCTGCGTTGGAATTTTAAGCTGTGCTGTTTACCATAGCGTTCATTTCCTAATTCTGGTGTATTTTTCCTGTTTTAATTGGTTTTCAATTGGTTTTTTCCCCCTCTCAACTACTTCGATGAGGGAAAGAGTAGTCGGTGAATTTGGGGTGGGGGGGGGGGGGGTGCAAACTGATTACTGAGAGAGCTTTAAGTCACAGTAACTGCTTTACCCACTCAAAGTAGCAGCAGCAGTAATAGTTGTGGTTGGGCGGTTACACCGTGGTGCTCTCATGTGAAGACCGCCAGTAAGGTTATGGCATTCTTCTGTCGGGTAGCGAAATTATACATCCTAACCTGACCAGTCCGTGGCGACAGCACTAGCCATGCGGCGCCAAATCTTCTGGCTCACGACTCCCTGTCTACTCCGATCAAAGACTATCTCTATATCTGAGCAGACAATGATTGTATTAGACACGTGCGATTTCTATTTTCTTTCATTTCCATTTAGCCAAACTATGCCACAGCAACGCGTGGCCGGGTACAGCTAGTTCTTTTATAAAAAGGACTCCAGGGGGCAATTTTGGAAGAAGAAGAAATAATTGAACCCACAATAAGCAAATCGTAAAAGGCAACTAATTAGATGTTTACTGAAATGGGATGAGTTCGGCCAAAAGGCATAAATATCACAAGCAAGCTTCCTTTTTAAGGTCGAGCCTAGAAAAAGAAGAATCATTTAATTATGTTTATGGAATGTGTAGTAATTTAAAAAAATGTGCAGGATTGTGCAGAACCAACCCCAGCATATTTTAGCTATTTGTGATTTCACTAGGCAGTTTTACATTCAATTGTGTGCCACTGCTCCCTGAAAGGTCGGCTCTTGATACCACTGTCTAAGCCAAAGCAAGGTGGGTCTGCAGCACCTCGGAATTATAAAGCGTGTTTGCAACGCTAAAGCCACAGGCATCAATAGTTTATTAAGCAGTAAATAAATAACATTTAAATAAGTCAGGAGGAAATTATTTATCAATAAAACAAGCTGTCGACGATAGATAATTTTAAAAATAAAGTATAAATACACTGCTTCTGCTCTTCAGAAATGTGGAATACATACATAATGACATCGATTTGCCAAGGTCCAAACACAAGAGCTTAAGAAGTTTTGAACAAGACTCCCAGAGGAGACAGTCAGGTCAGAGAGTATCTGTTCCCAGTAGCCCAAGTCAGGAGGAAGACAGTGAGCTCTGCCTGTACAGACCAGCCTGGGAACGTAACAGGAATGAGAGTAAATCTAGCTCATCTACCCGCAGTTATATAAGGTAAGGACATCGACAAGTTACAGGTGAGGGAATCATCTTCATTACACTGGGTTTTGTGCCATAAGGCTCAGTCTCTCTCTGCAGATCAACTAGGCACCAGCCAAGAGCATTGCAAAAAGCATGAACTCCATAGCTCCAGCAATGATCCCCAGAAATCTTTATTAAAAATTTTATGCAAGTGTGGAACTAAATTGTGCATTCTGAAAATGTGCATTCTACAATCTTCAGGACATGAGGCAGGTAGATTTGCTGGTGCTGCACCACTTGGTGAACTGATGCATGACATGCTAGATGTGCTAAAAGTCCTTTGGGAGCGAATAAACAATGTGGAGGCAAAAATAGACCATTACAGTCTGAGGAGAATGGTGCTGTGAGGAGTGACTTTGGAATTCAGACTCTGCGCTTGCCTCTGAAGATGTGGATGGAGCACTTATGGGAATATCCTGTGCTGTGAAATTGATTCTTTTTTCAACATTCAACCATTTTGCCAAGGATATTTCCAGATAACTACATCAAGTAGTTTATCAGTCAGGTACGCACTTCGTGGGGATGGCTGACAGCATTACTTCTCTTCCTCATTTTTTCAAAACACTTGGTTAAACTTCTGTTTGTCTGTCTCTTTGGTGATCTTCCCACTTGTATTGATACCTACCTCTTGCTTGTTTGATTCTAACTTTTTTGCATGCAGTATGGTTTTTACAAATGTGTCTTGTCTTTTAATTTGACAGGAACTTCTTTTTTGTGTGTGTCTGTTGCCAATTCTTATTTTAGGTCATCCTTTATAACAAGTTTCCATATAACTGCTTTCTGTTTATTCTTTTGTGTTTATTCTTCAGGTTGTCTTTGATCATCCTTCCTAAATAATTTTCCCTGGTGTCTGAATCTTGCATGTTTTTATGTTTATGTTTTTGAGCATATGAAGTATAAATTCAGGCTGTTCTTAAGTTCCAGTTGTGTAAACACTACAAATAATGAACACATTGCATTGCAGTATCCCTCCTACTTCACCATCGGAAAACTACATTGAAGCTGGATCAGAAGATTTATGTATGCTCTCCGAGCGCAGCACACCCCTGGTTAAGATGGCATGGTTAACAAAAAACTTGGAAGGAGATGCTAAAAATGAGTTCCGTAACTACCAAGCAAACTCTGGAACACAGACTGACAGTGATAGCAGCGTCAAGGCTCCTAACCGTAAGACAGGTTGGTAATGACCATTACTGAGAGCTTTGTTTTGTAATTTCTGCTAGAAATGTACTTATTTTCCCTCATGGCGCTGAATAATATTTTTTTTTAACAGTGGTTTTCAACTTGGAGCCTGTCTGGAAAAGTGGGGGGGGGGGGGGGGGGGGGGGAGGCGGTGTTAGAAAGTTTTTTTTCAAGTGGGTGTCGAGCATTTGAGTAAATTTGTAATTGTTATAATCCGTTAGGTTAACATTTTGTTTGGTTTAATTATTTATAAAATTTTGTCAACAGTCGTAAAAATAAAACAGATCTACCAGATTGATATGATGAAGGATCTCCATTGTGTCTTGTACAACATCAGACAAAAAATATATCAAGACAGAATAGAAGTCAACCATCATATTGACACTTGGACACTGAATTACCAGTTGTTGGTGATTGTTTCTTTTATGTTATTTAACACCTTGATTTATGAGGATATTGTTTTTCCAGTTTCTTTTATTAATGTTGGGACTTTTTTTTTTGCCTCCTCTTTTTAACCACAATTATTTTTTAAAGTTTGGGGTGGGAGTCTTGCCAGATATTGAAAGGGCAGCACCCAAAAAATGTTGAAAACAACTTTAAAAAAAAGAATATTGAAAGAAGATAAGGTTACCACTGCTTAATATTCTCACTATTTGCAATGCCATTACGAATCTGTATGCCTACTGTGGCCTCCTGCATTTCAGTTCAAAATCCCCTGTTTTCTGAAAATGACTGTGAAATAGTCCATGGCAACCTTCCATATGTTGCTACAGGAAGACACATGACCTCAACATTTTGACTCTGGTTTTCTTGCTGGAGCTGAACCACAGACTTAATGCTGTTGAATGCAGAATGTAAAGACGATTATATTTCTACACTGACAGCATGATTAAAATGGCTGTTTTCTTCTAGTGTTTGGCACTCCCTGGCAGTTTGGGGGCACATTTACCAGCAGGGGAGGTTTGATGCAGGCTGCAGATTCTGATGTTTGCCTCATGGTGGTGCCTAATGCTGTGCCTAAAGGGGAGTATGTTGACATTTACGGAGCAGTTTTCACTGATACCACTCAGATTAGGAAAAGGGTAGGACTTTTTTAAATAAATTTTTATTTGGGACCATCCTCCTCTTTCCCACATTATTATATCATTCATCATACGTCCTCCTGTGGGTTCCAGGGCCCCATTTTAGGGTTGGGGGGGGGTAGACTTTTTGTCACCTAACAAGCACATAGCACAAGAGAACTAATTGGGAGTTGTTACTTTGAAGTCAGAGTGCATCTGCTCGAGAGACAAGGAGCCAGCAGTCTGCATACAAATATAAGCCAGATCTGTAAAATAGATATGGATGCAAAACTCAATTTTTGCATCAAGACTACAATCCAGAAGTAGGCATACTAGAACCTTTTGCCGGATTTTACAACCTGTGAATGCAAGGAAGAAGAAGCAAACATGTTAAGCATTTTCTGAAACATGTGGTTCTTTAAATGCAGCTACCTTTGAGGAATATGGAACCAGTATGTGAATACCGTTAAAATTAGAGAAAAATGGAGTATTATTATTTATATCTTTTGTCACCCCCTCTTCTTTTTTTTGTCCTTTTCATAATTGTTTTCTCACCACAATATCTGAAGTACTTTCGGAAACATGGGACGGTAAATGCAATGATTCTCTTTTCAGGTACTGTCTTTTATGGTGCCTGTACACTTCTGGAGTGCGCTAATGGTTTCCATGACAATGTGTGTTTCTTGTTGATTTCTGCAGGCTGTACTGCTTTTATCCATCGCAGCAGTGCATTTATTGCTGTCAGTGTTATGTATGTGAGTGTGTGTATATGTGGGTGGGTGAATGGATGTAGCACATTCATCGATCCATCCAGCCACCCTCTATACATCCATCCACCCATCTATACATCTATCCACCCATCCATATGATTCACATTGGATTGACACATTCATTTATGCATTATCCTAATTGTACCGTTATATGTTACATAGGCCTTGCAGTCTATTTCTCCATTCCACCTTATCTTGTGTAATAAGTTCAGTATCATGGCAATTTTGGCTTCTCTCATCAGTGTTCCCTCTAGAGATTCTCTTGAATGTCCTCATTTCCTCAGTTTCCTATTTCAGTGCCTGCTTGGTATTGGCACATTGAATCATGCATTATAATTAATTGATTGTATGATTAATTTTTTGATTTAGATGACTGATTGTCTAAGCTGTACAGCTTGGGCATTATAATTTAACCACAGTGTGAAAGCATTTTGTCCTACCAAGACAAAATAACACGGAAGACACCATAAGTGGGAGGACCTAAGTCTTTCTTCTTTGCTGGACACAGATGATCCATGTCTCTTATCTTTACTATCTGAATTTACCACTGCATTTTGAGGTGATGGAGGAGGAAAGCATGTCACAAGCTTGAGGATCTAAGGCCACACAGTGAGCGCAATCACCACAAACTTTGCAGATGAAGATCTTATTGTCTGATAATACAAAGTAGATGACATTTTGTACAAACCATAGATTTAGTTTTCACTGCATGTCTGGTAATTCTCCATTACACGTGTATAATTTGTTATTTTCAACAGATGAAGATTTCAACCAAAGAGTGTCTGATAACACCTGTAGTAGAGTACTGTGCTGTTCCTGCTAGCCCTTTCCGGAGACCAGTCTGCGTACAGTTGCCCCATGCACTGCCAGAGGAGTTTGATATCCATCTCATTAAAGTGAGCCTATGAACTAACCATGAGAAATATTTTCTCCACTAATTCTTTCATGCTGATCTTGTTTTGTTTTTGTTTTTTGTTTGTGAATATTACCAAGAATACATTGACTGATATATTTAGTCTGTATAAATGAAGAAACAAGTTGGATATGAATATTTTGTCCATATAATCACAATTGCCTAAATATCTTATATTCAATAAATATCTTATATTCAACAATGGCAAACAATGAGGAGTCTCTTTAAACAATTTTCATTTTGCTATTAGTTAATCTTTGTTACATATTATCCTTGTTTGTGATGCCTTTGATACTCTCTAGGTTCCTAATTTATAGATAAGATCATTTTTTAAATTCTTTGAAAGCAGTGGTGTAGAGGCTAGATGTTCACCTCCATCACAAAGGTCTTAGGTTTGAATCCCTATTGATGCTGATATTTTTAAAAATGACTTTGGCACCAAGATCAGTTCCGCCTAAAATGGATACCAGGTAAAGTCCTGGGAAGTAAAGGCGATCAGCATGATGTTAACCACATCACCCATTGAGGGCTGATTGGTCTATAAAAAAATTGTTCTATAACTAAATGGCCAAAGGCCTGAATGTGTGGAAAAGGTCCTTTACTTTTGTCTCTATTATTTAGGTATTGATGTACTGGGCTAATCTAGCTACTTATGTTTATCTGCCTATTGATAACATGGGTTTAACTCTTTCAATCCCAAGGGGCTTAGCATCAGAAGCCCTAGGTATGGTAAAGAGAGATGCAAATTTGGCATATCTGACATTCATTGAGCTTCTAGGTAGCAATCTATGAATGCATGATGCGTTCCTTGGGACTCAAAGATCTAAGAGTTAAATAATACTATTGTCATTCATAGATTTTCTTTCATAGGAATATTAACATTTTAATGAGCTCATATTTTTGAGCATATTCCTTGTTTTATTCCTCGACTGTTCACATACAAACAGTGCTGTTCTTGATTGCAGGTGTACACATTCACAGTTGATGAGAGTGGAAAAGTTTCCTTATCTGATGTACCAGCATTTGTTAAAACAAATGAGGACAGGGGTTTGGAGACCTACTGGGAGAAGGGTCCTGATGGCCACAGTATTCACATCAGCACATTCCATTTCAGGTACGGCAACTTCCAATTGTAGAGTGAAATATACCGTATTGTTCCGTGTATAAAACAGTATGTTTTCCCAAATTTGTTAGTGTATAATTGTGTTTAAACTATTTATTCCTGATTTTGGGCTGAAGATTAGGGGGTCATCTTATACAGGGGGCGTCTTTATACACGGAAAAATATGGTAAGACTAAGATGTTTTTTATTCAAATCAATTTCATGTGACATTTTTGTTTATCAGGCATTGCTCTAATTGCAGCTGGCAGTCTGTTCTTTTTTCCCACAGCAGTATTGGAAAAGAATGCTGATGCTCTTTGGTGCATGTCAAAAGTGGGACAGCTATCTTTAATTTGTAATTATGACATCGCAGTGTTTGTCTGCATCGTCATGTCATGTGTTTAACACTCTTGACACCCTTAATAAAAATATTGACATGTTACAAGACAGTGGCATAGTTATTGTAATTTATATCACACTAATAAGGTTTTTTTTTTAATCCCTTTTTAAAAAATTTGTTTTGTTTGAACACACTTAGAACGCTTGCCTAGATATTTTAATGTGCAGTTCAGTATAAGCTGCATCTATGAAAGTAAAACATTATGGGTTTTTACAACTTTGTTTACTGTCATCTTTGCCACTTGCTGCAGAATCTTTGGGGACTTGAAGAGTTAACTAATAATCAGGCAGCGGCGTAGTCAGACTTGCACATGCCACCAAAGATGGTGACAGGGTTCAACTGTCCAGCATCATTTCTGTCAGTCTGACTTCTTTCCCCTTTTTATCATTCATCATCACAGTGTACTTCCATCCTTTTCTACTCATCACCTTGGTCACAGAACACTGCCTCTTTATTATAATTGTGTATAATGTTCTTTTTTTTTCAGTAACCATTTTCCAGCAGTCACTCTTAGAAACTCCAGCGGTGCAAGGATATTCATAAACATTATCTTGGGGCTACCTTTCTGCTTCCTCCAAGCTGTGCCTAATTACTGCCATTTTCCAGTAGTCACTCTTAGATACTCCAGCGGTGCAAGGATATTCATAAACATTTTCTCAGGGCCACATTTTTGCTTCCTCCAAGCTGTGCCTTATTACTGTCAAAGAATAGAAAGTTAACATTACTGTCTTTTTTGTTCTGTGCTGTTGTTATACTTTGTTTTTATTTCCAGCATGGGTTCAGGATTTTTTGTTTTTATTTTCTTCTTCTTTATTCACCGGCTGTAAGCTCTGGCGAAAAGTAATAGTTTTTTGTCCATTTGGACTTCAAATTTATGCCAGGGCCTGAATTTTGCGTTTACCTTCATTTTACTGGCTTATTTATGTGCAGCTGGTTGTTCCTTGCCACTCTGGCAGGTGCACTCTGACTTCGAAGGAAGCCCTCAGTTACTCAGCTGTTACCACATGCTAGTTTGGAAGGCACTGGGTTTATTCTTGTTTTCCCTAGAATTGGGCCTTGGAATCCACAGGGGGAAAATGTAATTTGTAATCTGTAATAAAATTATCAGAAACATTTGTTAATGTTTGAAAGAAAATGTATGTTGCAGAATAATTTATAAACTTGATATTAAATCCCTCAGTGGTTACTTCTGCACACAGTGTGAAACCGCTAGCTGGCCATCGATATGTACCATGGTTTTTGGCTCCCATGTGCAGATAACTCAGTGTCGTAGGGAGGTTAGAGTTATCCTCTACATCTGGGACAGACGTCTTACCATCAAAGACTATCTTGAGGTTGGTAATGGCATGTTTTAGAATGGTATTTTTGAAAGAAGCTAATTACAGACTTTATTTTAAAAAATTGGTGGCTCAACTCTTTCATCACGAGAAGCCGCAGAACCTACACTTCTGGTTGCATCCAGTTTCCTGTAAATATGACTTGTCTATAGTGATCTGTTTGTGATACATAAAGGTAATGCTATTGGCTGTTTTCACACCTATGTGAATGTTAAGAAGGTCAGGATTTCAATACATTTAAAATAAAAAGCTTTTAAGGAAGTTTTCCTTTGAGCCAGATAGCTTTTTTAAAAGCTAAATTAAGATCAAATGTTCCCCAAGCCTCAGTGTTAGTGGTCAAGGGGTCATAACATGAGTCACCCAATACATATGTTTTTAGAGCCTAGGGTATGTATTCCATTTAAGGCTTCACTCTGCTCATGTTTATTGATTATCCCTTCATATATCTTTATATATTTAAAATTTTCTACAAATTTATTTATTTATTAGTGGCCTGTGATTTTAAAAAAAAAAATGTCAAAAGGAGTTTCTTTTGGGAATTCCAATGGGATTACAACCTGTTTAAACAAAATATTTTTTTTTTGGTTCAAGAGGTTTGAGTATTGGAAAAAGGTAGTTAATATATTTAACACTTTGTTTCACTTTAAAACATTGTTTCCTCATTATGATTGCGGTTAATTTAAACATTAATAAACCAGACCTAGGACATCTCGCAGGAATGAAGACAACTACTAGACATACATTATTTATAAGAATCCAAATGGATGGCATCGATTCTTAACTCTTTGAATCCCAGAGGGTTTAGCATCACAGGCCCAAGGGGTAGTCAAGAGAGACGTAAAAGCGGCGCATCATGCGTTCATTGGGCTTCTAGACAGTAACCTATGAACGTATAATGCATTCCTTGGGACTCAAAGAGTTAATTATGATGTATGCATAGATTAATCAGGTCCATAATTGAGGCAAACATGCAGTTTGTCTGAAGCGTACCAAATGAAGAAGGCATGAAAATTATGAGTAGAGTTTTTGAGTGAACGAGAAAAGAAGCGATTTAAGCATTCAGCAAATTAGAAAGCTCAGTCTTGTTGTCAGTCCTGAGAGAGTCCAGTCTTGTGGCTGTGAAAGAGTGAAAGCTGAGGGAATTTACAAGCAAGTGAATGTATGCTCAAGCAACAACCATGTATCCTGAGAAAACCTTGCCATCTTGTTTAGCCTGACATCTCGCAGGGATGCTCATCCCAAGCTTGTTGTTATGGGTCCGCTCTTTATTTTTGGACATCACTTGCCATCTGCTCATTCAGCATCAGCTTATTTAGTATTCAACATTCGGGGTTGGCATCATGCTTCTTAACTCTTTGAGTTCCAAGGAACTGTTGCGTGTCAACTCAGGGGTATCAACATTGTTAGGTATCAGTACATCATACATTCATAAGTTCCTACCTAGAAAGAAACCCAATGAATGCATAATGCGCCAATTTTATGCCTCTGTTTTCTACCCCTTGGGCCTTTGATGCTAATTACCCTGGAATTCAAAGAGGTAACGTGACCACACTAAACTGTTGTATAGGAGTAGAAACAGATCTTCAGCATAACGTCAGGATAACGTCCTTTGTAACTTCTGCCAGCTTTAGTGCAGTTCATAATCATTTCTTCATCAACACAATTTCTCTACATATGTACTTTTCTAGCGATCACAGTTAAACTACCAACTCATTTACGCTATATTCACCATCTTCAAGTACAACAACTGTCTTCCTCTACGCAACTGACCAAGAGCCAACTTCAGATCTGTTCTCATTTGTTTCTCCATCCCTGAGTATTCTGTGCCACCGTCTCTTGCACAGGCTTTCTGCCTGGCTTGTTGTGACTTTGGGCCACCATCAGTCTTAGTCTTAGTCAAGGTTCCCTCATGTTTTATAGATCAGTCTCATTCTTAGTCATATTTGAGGTTCCCTCATGTTTTAAAGATCAGTCTCATTCTTCGTCATATTTGAGGTTCCCTCATTTTTTATAGATCAGTCTTAGTCAAGGTCCCCTCATATTTTATAGATCAGTCTCATTCTTAGTCATATTTGAGGTTCTCTCATGTTTTATAGATCAGTCTCATTCTTAGTCATATTTGAGGTTCCCTCATATTTTATAGATCAGTCTCAGCCGTAGTCGAGGCTCCAACTCCGCTGCAGTCAGGTCTCCCATATTTACTGGAAATCAAATGAAATGTCCCTCACTGAACAACTGGTGAACAAACAGTTGTCAGTGGTCAGCATCAGACCAGCCACCTTTACTTCTCAAGATGTTTCTGTCAAAAAGTGAAAACGTTTACTTGTATTTGCCAGAGAACAGTGAAGTTGGTTCTATTATGAAATGAATTAGCTGTTTCTTGTCTTTCATTGTTGTGTTTGAATGATGTTACCTTATGCAGTGATATTTTAATTTTAGTTTTAATCACCTCAGTGTTAATTGTATTTGATGCTTTTAGAATCATTTTATGAATGTGAAATATTTAACCCTTTATAGACAACATAGACAAGCAATCACAATAGACACTGAAATGGGAAATAAGTGGACTGAGAAAGTGAGGATATCTTATAGAAATTTTTTAATGGACTTTAATGAGAGAGGCAGGAGGCATTGGACTAGATACAATTCTTGATATCAAAAAGATATCACAGAAGAGAACAGAATGGTCAACTATGAGCTCTGTGGGGTTTAAACAGGACTACAGGGTGATGGTGATGAGTAAAATGTTGTTTGAAGAGATAAGTGTTGAATGTGGAGCTAATTCAGTACTTGATATCAAAAAGTTTTCATTGGAGAGAATAGAATGAAGGAGTCAACTCTGAACTCTGTGGGTCATAAACAGGACTACAGGGTAAGAGTGATGAGTAAAATGTTGTTTGAAGAGATAAGTGTTGAGTGTGGAGCTAAGAACTGACATCACAGTGCTCAGGACATTTCCATAAGGGCTCCCTCTTTATCTACAGCAGCCAGCGAAGAGTTTCAGTTTTCTACTGGTAGAAGTTTGATTATATGTTCATCTTGCCTTTCAACTGACAGTAGAATGTCGATCACATCATCTGGTCACTCCTACATGTACCATTCTGTCCAGAACTTAATGATCTACAGCACTCAGGACATTCCCATAAGTGCTTCATCTTCATCTCCAGCAGCCAGTGAAGAGTTTCAATTCAAATGGTGCCAGTAGAAGTTTGATTTTATGTCTGTCTCGTCTTTCTACTGAGGCTAGTGTCCACCATATCACCGGTCACTCCATGCTTACCATTCTCTCCAAACCATAATGATCTATTCATGCCTTCGTGTTGATCACTTGCTGTCACAGGGCCTTGACCACATTTAGCTTGATGTGCATAAATTCACCACCCATTGGTCCAGAACCGGCCAATTAATAGCTCAAAGAGATCGGACTGTCAGGCATGCACTGTTGTCTGATCAGGGTATAAATTTAAGAATGAATTTCTTTGATCAGAGATTCCGCAAGCAGGAGTCTGATGTTGACCGCCAGCTGCTGACAGACATGCAAGTGCCTCTGTTGGATGGTGCCTCCTCTGACAGTCGGCTGGTCATGTGTATGGAGGTGATGGGTGGTGATGATGACCGTGAGTGTTGGAGACATGTTTTGAGACCTGATGGTTCTAGGCCCCTCTTTAAGCCATTGCAGGTAAGGATGCTTCTGTTTGTGTGTGTGTGTGGTTGGTAAAAATATATGATTATTTCTTGGTCATCATCATCATCAGCATCACCATCACCACCACCGTGACCACCACTGTCATCGTCATAAAATAATTTAGCCGTTACATTGTTTCAGGAGCTTCTTGATGATTTCATTTCATTGTTGTGTGCCTTGTCGCATTGTTTTTAATTATATGTATGCTTTGTATCAACAATATTACTTGAATGAAATATAACAATGAGATTATTGCTGTGTATCAACAGAATTACTTTAAATGAAATATAATTCTAAGATTACTGCTTTGTTTCAACAATATTACTTAAATGGAATATAACTCTAAGATAAGGTAAATAAGTGTGTCGAATAAATATAACAATAAAGGCTCTTACAGACAAACAAAAATGCTTTTGCTACAGTCAACATGAACATAAACATCAATAACGTTTAGATGAAAACTAAAAGTTGTTCCAGCAAAAGTAAAGAAATATAAATGCTAACTCTTTGATTCTGAGAGGGTATTGTTGCATCAGAGGAGCAGGAGGGGGGAAGAGGGGAGGGGAGGGGTGACATTTGTGCTTTATCAAATTTAGCGCATAAAAATACTGCTATGAAACATACACATATCATACATAACATAAATATAAATAATTGATGGTTATTATTATTATTAGTAGACTACTACAACATATAATTAAACTGTGATTTAATAATTAGTAAACAAGCACAATATGAAATTGGTATGTGCAATACTTTTTCACCCAGAGTAGTTTTCTTAACAGTACTTATAGCACTACTAAATATGTATCCTCAAGGTACAAACAGCACAAACAAATTTGTCCAGTTTCATCTTGTTGAATGAAATCAATTCCTTACCATTGCGAGTTTTTTGGTAACAAATATGCATAGGAAGTGGATGAACAACCAGAAGTTTCCACAAGAGTTTACAGCCAGTGTTCTTGAAGCAAAGCAAAAGCCAGTTTACAAAAATTAACAGACCGTACAACTGCAAATATGCAAAAGAAGTCGATTAACTACCAGAAGTTTCTGCAAGAGTTTACAGCCAGTGTTCACGAAGAAAAGCAAAAGCCAGTTTACAAAAATTAACAGACCGTAGAACTGCAAATATGCAAAAGAAGTCGATGACCTACCAGAAGTTTCCGCAAGAGTTTACAGCCAGTGTTCGCGAAGCATAAGTCAAATGGTTAAGGATTAATATTATTAGTGTACTGCTACAACATATAATTATACTGTTAGTCAACAATTAGTAAAGAGGCAAAGAGTGACTTGCTGTAAGAGGTTAGTTAGTAAATTAAATATTATTTTCATCCACTTACCTAGAGCTCCGAAATATCTTGACTCAATTTATCCACAGTGTGGTTGCACCATTTATGCACAGTCAATATGAAAGCAATAGTTTTCTTCAAACACAAGATAGTTTGCACCTGACAACTGTCGATATTCTCCAGATATGGCTTTTAAATTACCCGTTTGTATTATCCCTAAAAGTAAGATTTCTACATTTAAAGTAGAAAAGTAATAAACAGCCAGTTCCCAAAAATCCGAACTACTGACTAGAAACAGTGACACTGACACACACATCACAACACGACTGTCTTCCGTGAATTATAAATTAAATTTAAAATTGCTGTATATCCACTTCACAATATCCATTTGTAGATTTGTAAAACAAATACGTTTAGAACACAGGACTTTGTAAGCATATTAATATGTCACACAATGCAACATGGAAATGCTCCCAGTAACCTAATTTCGAGGGGGACTCCTCCAAAATGTACCGTGATTCAGTTGGCAGGACTGATTAGAGAAGGGCGTGCTTCTTATCTACAAAATTACTTGAATGAAATATAACTCTAAGATTATTGCTTTGTTTCAACAATATTAATTTAATGGAATATAACTCTAAGATTATTGCTTTCTATCAACAAAAATAATTTAATGGAATATAACTCTAATATTATTGCTTTGTATTAAGAAACTTTGAGAATGGAAAATGTTAAGTGAGAACTGATTGCAAATTTAAAAAAAAAAGTCAAAACACTAGCTACCTTAGATAGAAAGTGTTAAAAGAAAAAAAGTTTGTCTTCTTGTGAATATCTTCATACAGTCCATGCTGCGTGGCGTTTAGTAGTCATTTCTGTTCATAAGTTTCTGTCTCATGTACCTTTATGTACTGTCTCATATACTTTTTTCATCTTCTGTCTAATGTACATATTAAATCTACTGTCTTATGTACTTTCGTGTACTATCTCATATACTGGTTTTAATCGACTGTCATATGTACTTTTTTCATCTACTGTCTCGTATACGTTTTTTCACATACTTATTTCATCTACTGTACTTATTTTCATATTATGCCTTGTGTAATTATTTTATCTACCATCTTATGCACTTTTTTATACTATCTCTGTACTTTTGTTTTTCATCTGTTGCCTCATGTAATGTTTTTCATCCACTATCTCATGCACTGTTTTTTACTGTCTTGTGTGCATTTTGCATATACTGTTTATATATTTTTTCTAATCTGCTGTCTCATGTACTTTCTAAAATAGATGTTCCTCCAGGCCATGATGTCAAACTGCCAGCTTGTTGTCTGTTGGTTTCCCTATCACTCTTCCTCTCCAACTTTCCCACTGTCATTACATACTTGAGGTTTCCTCTTCTCACATTGCAACCAAAGAATGCAGAATTCTACATCTGTTGTGAATATAAATGTGAATTTTCCTTCTAAACCAGATGCGTAAACTCAGTGAAATTGTTCACTGCTGCCGCCAGACTGACCCCATACGTGTTGAATGGGCATTGGAGAACGCACCCCAGCAAGTTCCTAATGCAGTTTTCCAGTGTTGCATTGACATCATGCATGTGCATGAGTCCACCAGTGACTATGAGACAGCCATGAAGGAAGGCAGTGATGACCTTATGAGAACTTTTTACGTCAGGGATTTGAAGGTCATGACAAATTCAGCTGTGGTGAGAGGACGTTTCTTTTTTTTCAGTTGAACAAGTTTTCATTCAGATTTATGACATTAAATTAAATCATGAGGATACAAACAGTGTTATATATTTGGCATATTATGCCATATCAGATGCATTACTTCTTCTTCTCTAGTCTTGTTCTGCCTTTCAGCATCAGGTTTCAAAGATGTATAGGGTGTGAGCCTACATGGATGCTGGTATTTATGGCCTCGGATATCCCATCTGTCCATCGCTCGCATGGTCAACCTCTGGCTCTGCTTCCATTGTGTCTAAGTGACAGGACCCTATGTGGTGTACTATTTGGTGGTTTTCTTGACACATGTCCTAACCATTAAATGCCTTACTATGAGGTGTATTATGACAGAGTTTACATCAGTATAGAGAAGCAGCAGCTGGCCGAACGGTTACATCTGTGTAGAGAAGCAGCAGCTGGCCGAAAGTTTACATCTGTGTAGAAAAGCAGCAGCTGGCCGAACGGTTACATCTGTTTAGAGAAGCAGCAGCTGGCCGAACGGTTAAATCTGTGTAGAGAAGCAGCAGCTGGCCGAAAGTTTACATCTGTGTAGAAAAGCAGCAGCTGGCCGAACGGTTACATCTGTTTAGAGAAGCAGCAGCTGGCCGAACGGTTAAATCTGTGTAGAGAAGCAGCAGCTGGCCAAAAGTTTACATCTGTGTAGAAAAGCAGCAGCTGGCCGAACGGTTACATCTGTGTAGAGAAGCAGCAGCTGGCCGAAAGTTTACATCTGTGTAGAAAAGCAGCAGCTGGCCGAACGGTTACATCTGTGTAGAGAAGCAGCAGCTGGCCGAACGGTTAAGAATGCAGGGCTCTCATGCAGGAGACCCAGGTTTAAATCTTCAGTAAGGTTGGGAATTTTTTCTGTCAGAAATAAAATCTTTACCTGCACAGTCCGTGGCAACAGCACTAGCCAATGGAGCCCTAAATCCTCAGCTACAAAGACCTCAGTGCCTGCCCTGCAAAAGTGGTAACTACACGCAGTAATGGCAGTATTTAAAATTAAAATTTTTTTGTTTTCACTACTTATATTTCTATTAGCGGCATCCGTGGCTAAGGCGTTGCGAGTCTGACTTGTAAGCCAGCATACCGCGATCGAAACCCACTGCAGGCTGCGTGGATTTTTGTCGTGGTATGGGATGTCGCAGGTCGACCCAGCCTAAAATGGGTACCAGGATGGGCTGTCCTGGGAAAGTAAAGACAGCCGGTGTAATGCTGACCACATTACCCACCGAGTGCTGATGGTCTGTAAAAATATGGGACGCTCTGCTCATATGCCCGATGCGCCGAAAGGCGTAAAAAAGGGATCTTTACTTTACTTACTATATTTCTATTGAAAGGATTAATTTTCCTGTTTGATTATTTTGATGTGCTAATGCACCTGATGTAGAGTAAAGGACCCTTTTTATGCAAAAGTGTATGGAGGATCATCTGTGTCAGAGTTAATTGGAAGTACACCAAACAGAAGGTTGTGGATAGACATGACTACCAACGGCACATGGCATTGACTTTAAGAAGAAGAAGAAGTGCATCGAGCATGTGATGCTAGACTCATATTTTTTTAAATAGATCAATCAGCTGTCGATCTATGCTATCAGTGCCAAACATGGACACTTACATCCTCCAATGAATGTAAAACTGTGACAACAGAGATGAAATGCCTTAGAAGAGTTACAGGAGTTTCAAGGAAAGACAATACAAAATCAGATGAATGCTAGGAATAAAGCCAGTCTTACATGTCATCAAAGAACAATGAATGAAGTGGTTTGGACACCTAACAAGAATGCCCTGGTACTATCTGTCACATCGAGCCACACTAAAATGTTACAACGGGTATAGAGCAAGTGGAAGACCTCGGAAACGATGGAATGCTGGCATTGAGAACAGCCTTACAGAAATGAACATCAGTCTTAATAGTGCTCTTGACAGAGCTCATCAGTGAATGTTACAGCGCCCCCTGACACTTTGCTGAGGTAAAAGATGGAAAAGAAGAAAAAGAAGAAGTTGTCAATGGGTGATGTGTCAACATCACAGCGGCTGCTTTCACTTACCAGGACTCCACCTGATGCTGATTTTACTGGGTCAACACGGTAGCCAAGATAATTTTTGAATACACCTGATGAGATGCAGAAAATTATTCCAGGCAGTAAATAGTGCAATGGCGTTGTTTGTGTCCCAATTTTTGTAAATTCACAGCAGAAAAAAAATTGTTTGGAATCACATGAATAGTTTACTGACATGTTTGTTCATTATCAATAAGTGCCTGTTTGTCTGTTATGGGTGATTATTTGACTCAGCAGCTTGTGATCTCCCACAAAGTGTCATTTTATGTGGTTATATTGTTTTATGCCATGATAAAAGGTTACGGGATTGACCTAAGTGTGCTTTGAAAGAGCTGAGGGTTTGAAGACAACTTATGACAAACATCATGTTTTTATCATAAGCATAGTATAATTTTTCAGTGGATACTTTGATGGTTTCCCTTGTCTTCTATGTCATGTTGGGTATTATTCAGTGTTAATTTTTTGTTGTTGCTTTGAATAATCCAGATGAGGATTTTTCTAGCTCCACCCTTATTTTGTCAGTCGTGATTGTGTTCTTGTAAACTGATTGTCTACAGTCCATCTTTTTCATACAGTTAACTTTTATTGATTGCATTTTATATTTTGTTTTAAAACATTTTTTTAAACATTCGTATTTTCAATACTTTATTGGTTTTGCTCCATTAAATAACTACGGACAATTCCGTTCCCATTCAGGGTGCAGTTTTTCGTTACTTTGAAGCACCACTATGGTTGTTGTCAGGAGCCCTAATATAACCCAACACATGGGTTGAACGGGGTTTCTGGGACCTGTCCCCGGGTGATTCTCATCTCAATGGAGGCACTTTGTATCACCGGGTGTTTATCGCTTGGTGTGATGTCCTGGTGGGGTTGAAAGTCAATCAGTAAGAATCCATTTAATTCCCATTCTATCTGTTTAATAGTATATGGTGTCTTAATTCAGACTTTCCAAGTATTCTTTTGGTTCATTTTCTACATGACTTTGTGCAGGAAATGCAGGAACCAAAGCAGAGTGTAGAATTTCAGCGTGTGGATTTGAAACGTACTCTTTCCGAAACTATGGACATAATGCAGACGGAACGGATGTGCCAGGAGTTTGGAATCAGTATTAAAGATATTGGCAACTTCAGGAAGAAGTGAGTGGTGTTTGCTTTATGATTGTCCTTACTGTTCGCATTTCTAGTGTTGTCTGGCTTGGTGAAATTTGTATCAGATAGGGTTCTTGTCCTAGGAAGAGAAAATGAAACCTGAAAACTGAATGTAATTGTCAGAGCAGAACAGGTCTTTAGCCTTGGTCTGGGGCAGGAGGGGGGGAACTGCGACAAATGAGCAGACAGAGTACTGCTGTTGTGCTCCAGCAGCTTCCAAACGTATTGGAATTCCTTTTCCTTTGGAGTAAACAGAGCAGGTCAAGGGAGGGATCATGCTGCATGGGCAATATATGGTCTCTTCATTATTGCCCAGGCTTTCTACTGTGGAGGAGAGATGATCTATGCTTCCCATGCCTCTCTGTTCTGAGTTATTTTTTGACAAATATTTAGAGCTAATGTAATCAGATTAAAAAAAAACATTAGGATATTTGAATAAATTAAAAACATTAATCGGTGCCTGTTCAAAATAGGATGAGAAAAATGGTATTGGCTGAATCAGAACTGAGATTATAGGTAGAACTAAATAAATTTCAGTCCGCCAAGAGGCGAAAAAATAAAAATGAGTGGCACTTGATAGGACCACACTGTGAACACCTTTTAATAGTAAAACTAAAAAGTCATTTCTCTGAAAGCTATAGGGCAAAAGAAATAGAGACAGTTCTAAAGTTCAAAGCATATAGCTCTAAAACATGCAGAGAAGTAATCCTAAAACAAGGTAAAGAGAATTAGAAAGAACAGTTTAATATGGACATGGAGAGAACTATAGGAGATAGCTCTTGAAGTGAGTTGGTTGATGCCTGTACTCATAAGAAAGAAGGAGAGGTTATATGGGGTGAAAGGCAGATGAAGAAGAAGATGCTAAGTCATTAATGAGTAATTTTAAGTGAGTGTTTATATCTGATTCCAGGTTTTCAACATCAGAAGCATTTCAGTTGGGTCTTGTGGAGGAGTGCTTGAGAAGGCATGGCTCAGACAAATTTTTGAATCTCTTGCCCAAGATCCTAGAAAGACTGCATTATACAGAGGTTATGGCTGCGCTGGATGACAAGAAAATTCTAGTCAGACATTTGACAGACTTCACTGGCGTGTCTGCTGAAGCAGCTGCGGCAGAGGAAGACGCTGTTGCTGAGTCAGTCAGCAGTGTTGGAGGAGGACTAGATAGCACAAGGTGTAAATCTCCCCATAGGAGAAGGTCTCCCTCACCAGCGGAGAGAAACAGATCTAATTCACCACTCTACAGAAGGAGGAGGAGTAAAGAGAGTCATAAACCAGGCTCTGGGTATACAGGTTCTGAAAGAAGCGAGGATGTATATGTGAACAATAAATCGCAGCAAAAAAGCTCTACAAAAGAGGAGCAATATGGTAAAAGTAAAGGCTGGGAGGAGAGACAATCAAAACAACCAAGCAGACATAGGCAGCATTCTCCACCTGCTGACTACGATCAAGATGAAAAAGCATATAATCAAAATCTGAAATACGACGTGAAGAAATATGATGAAAGGAGTATTCAAGAGAGACAGCAACTGAAAAAGCAGATCTCTTCAAGCAGCACAGGTGATTCTGTCCTTGGAAGTAGGTCACAGCCATCAGGCTATAATACTGCTAATTTCTCTTCAAAATCTTCATTGGGAACTAGCATGTATGCTCATGCTGATCCCCAAGATTTTTCAGAGGCACTTCCAGATGAACTACTAGACGATTCTATGAGACAGACTTACAAGAAAGAACTGTTAGTAAATGAAAACTTACATGGACATTTATCAAATGTATATGCACCTTACTACAATGGTTGTGAAAACCACTTGCCTTCCAATGGTCCTTATGCCATACCTCCTGAATCAGGGCAAGCAGATCTGTCTTCTCTGTCAGATCCTGTACCACCGTATCGTCAGTGGGTAGGCAGTCAGAGATTGAGTGACAAGTCTCAGTTGCCAGATGAAGATCAGACGTCAAAGAAGGAGCTGTATGGAATATCTACTGTAGTTTGACATTTGTTTACTTTTAGCGAAATTTGTTTTAAAAACTATCATGAATTTTTTGCCAGCTGTTGTGAAGAACTCATTTTCCTACTTGATGATGGAATATCTTCTTCTTCTTTTCGCTTCCTCTTTTACCATTTCAGATGTTGAAGGAGATAAAAGGTTCTGCCTACTGCTCTTCAGGTTGCCTTGATCATAAACACATAATGCTAGTGTAGATTTTTTCTGATGTTATCTTTCCATATTTTTTTGCTCTACCTTGTGCTCTTCACCCATCTCCTCTTTTGGTGTTTGCCGTGTATGGTATGGTGTTTCAAGGTATTATCTGTATGTGAGAAAACCATTTGATTTGCTGTCTTTAGAATTGGTTCTGTGATGACGTTTTTCCTCTTTTTGACCTCATTCCTGATTTGATCTCTTCTAGTCACTCCTTCAGCCCTTCTGGGACATCTCGTTTCCATGGTTACTGTACGGCGATATTGTGTGCATAGATTATTCTGTGAAAGGTAGTCTCAGGTCCATGCCGTACTAAGTCCTAGTAACTTATTACTCTAGGGGTAACAAATGTCAAAAACCAACGACAGGCAGAAAAACGCCACCAACAAGGTCAACTGTTGCAACTTCTACATTTGAGAACACGTCGTTGACAGGCAATTCCAATATCTTTATTCAACAATTCTCCACAGATATAATGTGTGTCCATGAAATGAATATGTTACAATCACTGTACTCAACGACGGTAAGATAATTACTTTCCTCCAACATGGAGCTCAGAGATTTTGCTCTCCCGCGAACTGCGGCATCAGGACATATAAATACAAGCCTCTGCTCGTCCATCATTTCTTGTAACTGTCTTCTGTCCAATTCTTCTGTCGCCAAGTGACGTTGTGTCTCTCGTCATATCTCATGTTCATTAGCGGCCGTCAATAGTGTGATTCTTCTGATTGCACACAATTACTAATTTTCTTTTCTGGTTTGTTGTAAGAGACAATAAGCTTAGGAGATAGAATAGGGTTGGAATGAATATGCTTTGTATGAGACATTTCCTTGTGCTCATTTGGATTGTCTGATGTTGTAAAAGGGAAAGCTAGCTGTCCCAATACTTGGCTTGCTTTACTGCATCAGATATTAATTTCACATCAAATTTACCATCTTTGGTGAATGTTGTTTCCAGAAATTTAAACTCAGGTGCCTGTCTGATACCTTTGCTCTCTACTGCTATATTTATGTTTTGCTTCTTTTTTCCTATTGACATTATTTCCATCTTTTCATTGTCGATTCTTATTTGAAGAAAACACCCCTTAATTAGTCTCCACCCACAACCTGCTTTTAGGGAAACAGTGGGTCTGTTATTTGTTCTCTGAAATGGAGCCCTGGACCCCACACAGGGACTTTTGCCATATTAAATGTCTTAATGGTTTAAATAGATCATTAATGGAGGGTAATGTCCCTGGGAAATGTTTCAAGGCTTGACCAGCATGGACACAGGATATCAAGGACACCCTTGATACGTGTCCTCGAGGCTGGCCTGTTGCCAAGGGACCAAGTGGCTTTCCAGCATGCCATGATGAGAGAGATGTTCTCAAAAGGACCTGCTACCTGATGATCCTGAAAGGTTTCTGAAGTAAATTTTTGTCCACAATGTAATTACTATAACAACTTCCTGGACCTTTGTTTCTGGTTCTGGTTTTTCTTTTTAAAACCACAGTCTCCTACATTTGACATTTTTTTTTTAAATTGTTGTGGCATTGCATTTCTTAGAGCTCTTGTTTGTTTTTATCACATCAACAAACAAAAAACTTCTCCTAGTTTTTGAATTTTTTGCTTTCAAATCACGTTGATTACAAAAACTGGGTGACAAATGCATGTAGAAATGAGCAGTTGGGGCTTATTAACTTGCAGTAAAATAAACTGAACCTTTCCATGTCATCATCAAACATTTTTATGTTATGTAACATGCCTACCCCTAAACAGCATAATTACTAATGGCAGTGATACAGCAGAAACAGAATGGAAAAAACCCTGTTAATGTTGGATTAACAGAAGCAACAGTCACTAGCTTGTATGGATTTCCCACAAATGCCTTTTCCAGAAAGCTTTTCTTAACCTTACACTCAAAAGCGTACTAGGTAAGGCAGAAAACAACAAAGAATGTTGCTACCTTAAGAAAATCCACTCATTCAGATCCAAAGAAACAGGGAAATAACAGTATTTCAACAGTTGTGCTGGTTTTACTGTAAGCTGGCAGGATTTCAGTTGCATAATCCTGAACAGTGAAACATTATTTTGTGTGTGTGTGTGCATGCAAGCTCACGTGTATGTGCGTTGTCATGCCTGTGCATATATGCTCATGCACTGTGTATGTTTGCGTGTGTACAAACCTGATGAAGATAAATGAAAATATCCTTGAAATGACACTGGCACTGAGTTTATTTTCTTAATACAAGAAAATCATGCACATTTGGACTGAAGGACATTTTAATCAACAGGGTAAACATCAAACAGATTCAGAATTTATGAAATTAGAAACTAGGAGAAAATAAAATAATTTATTTGGTGTTGCTTGTTGAAAATGAGAAATAAATTGTTCCCATATGTTAGTGTAGTCCTGATCACACAGATACTCAAGTATGTTGAGGAACTAGTTACATCAAGTCTCATGTTCACAAGCAAAAAGTAATACAATCTGTATGAAAGCACATGTGTAAAAGGACAAGTTGAATACAAAATTAGTGTAATGGAACTGTCCAAAGTCAGTATAGTAATTTTTGCATGTACTATTTTATCTCAGTATACACATTTAATTTTTTTTTAAATACTGCTGAATACAATCAGATGTATGTGACCACATATGTTATTGCAATATATTTCATTTCTACTAAGGATTTGATAATTTTTAATTCATGTGAATATTTTTTTTTTTACTGTTGCATAAATTGCAAATGTAAATTATTGATCAGGTTTGACTAGCTATTGCTGTTTGATACCTTCTTATTGATCAGGTTTGACTAGCTCTTGCTGATTGATACCTTCTTATTGATCAGGTTTGACTAGCTATTGCGGTTTGATACCTTTTATATTTAGTGGTATTTTAATTGTTGTGTTTTGCCAAATCACATGATGACTGTCTGAACACAGCAGAGGTGTCTGAAGTGTTTTGCATTCTTTTGAATTTAAGTAAATTTAATTAGAACAGAGAGGTGGAATAAAGTGGAATTTTCCCATGCACAGATTAAAGGTATAATTCTGAGACACGTTTGGAAGTTTTGAAGAGACGCAGTGCATTTATTGTAGTTTAATGTCTTGGTTTTTAGTTACTAGGGATATGGAATACTTCTGGAAGCAAACATAGTCATTATTTTAGTCTAGTTTTTGAAAACTGACCTTAAGAGGAATGAGCACATTGCACCTGCTCATGCTTGGTCATTCGCTCATAGTTTGATGAGAAAAGAAAAACAAATCGACCATATTCAGCCCTTCTGATAACAGGTTTGGTTATAATTGTGATCTGGTTTTATTTGCTGCAAATTTAATGGCTTAAATTGTTTCTTGTGACAAGAGCTGTTGCTTATTGTCCCTGGCTATTTATGACGTTGTTGCTCTGAACGTGTGTGGGTCCTCCATATTGGTTCTCTATTCTGTATGAAGGTTCCTGTTCTGCTGGCCATAATCCATCTTCTGGATGTAATTGTGGCTGGCTAAATTTCTGTTGGCATAATGACTAGCTGCCTACGAAGAGTGTCACACAAAGCAAGAACTCCTTATCTCCAGTGACAGTTCCCAGGGCTTTCTTTAAAACATGGCATTATAAACTGAATGCTGCTAAAGCATCCTTGAAACAAAAGTACGACCTTCAGAGTTCAAGGCAAATGACTTGATCACTGCACATTGAATAATGTTTTGTGTGTTTTATACAATGTGTTGTTTTTCCCCCTGTGACATGCAACTTTTACGTCTTAAAGATTTATGGAGCTTTCTGGCTACATTTCTTCCGTTACAAGTGTGGACAAATTACATACAAAGAAAAGCCATGCGTAGCATTTATTTAGAGTTTGAATACAATTCTCAGGGATGTATGTATCTGCAAAGTCTTCATAGATTCTGTGAGAAATATGCTTTTTATAGTTTCTAGCTGTCCAGTGTCCAGTCTGTTTTGGACTAGATCAGTGCTATTTGATTGCTTTCCACACAGACTTTGTTTTCCATTGTGAATTTCATTCTGAACATTTTGACTAGTAATCTAGATCCTGAGGGGAGCAGCTGACTGAGAGGTTACAGTGTCAGATTCTCGTGCGGAAACAGGGCAAAAATATAACTTCCTAACCTGCACAGTCTGTGGTGATAGCACTAAATCCTCAGGCTCACAAGCCCTCTGCATTTGAAGTTAAGTTACTTTTTATAGTCTGTCTCATCATCATCATGTATAACTTTGTTTGCAGAATGCATTCCAACTGACTGACTGAGAGATTCTTGGTCACTTGCTAGCTGCACTGTCTCAAGTATTCTCAGGCACAACAGCAGCACACAGATCTGCTGTGAGGGCATTAGAACAGTAAAAATTGCACGCATGTTGTTGTTACATTCCATCTGTAGAAATTTGAAAACAAAATAATTACAGACGTTTGAAACAAAATAATAAATCAGCCATAGAGAATGTATGAATCCATTATTTTATCTCAAAAGTTCATGCGGACCTAAATGTTGTTTGTGTAGACTACTCTATACATCTGTGCCATTTGTTGTTATAAATAATTTTTCTTGCTTTTATTTTCAAGTGCCATGTTAACTAATTTTGATACTTCATAATTGTATTGCCTTACATATTTTGATTTCTAGTTACATTTATACTGTTGAGTGTAGAGATACTGTTGAGTGTAGAGATACTGTTGAGTGTAGAGATACTGTTGAGTGTAGAGATACTGTTGAGTGTAGAGATACTGTTAAATGTAGAGATACTGTTGAGTGTAGAGATACTGTTGAGTGTAGAGATACTGTTGAGTGTAGAGATA